GAGAACGGTATTACGAGTTCAAGTGTTTCTACAACTTCCATGTTAATAACTGATGCATCAGGTGCTGGTGGGTTAGACGATTCGCGACTCGGTCTTAGTCCTTCGGTTGGCCTTTCCGCGGGACTTCCTTCGACTTGAACCTGCCATTCGATTTCGGTAAATTTTGTAATGTTGAAATATCCGGGGTAAAAAGGTTACTTTTAGACTTTAATCTTTTTATCACCTTTTAAATTGTCGATTTGATTTTCTAATTTAAACGTCTGTTCGCTTTCGATCAAATAAAAAGTGTGAGTCTCCATTTTAGTATAAACAGGCTTTTAAAAATTTTACTGTTCTTCATAAAGTTAAAATTTTTGACGGCGTCAGTAAAATGTTTCTCGGAGACTTGAAACAGGTCTTTTACGGTTTCTGCAGTTTCTTTTGTCACGTCTTGATAACAGACGGCCATTAAAGCCCAGAGCGGCTTGCCTCTGGAAATTTTGCCTGCCAAAACTCGGTTTACTTTATGTTCGATAAGACCTGCTTTCTCGGCTGTTAATTTGACGTCTAGCTAATTCTTGAAATATCTTGCTCGTTTGAGATTTTGTTTTTTTAAAGACGAAACGCTGGTTGAATTTCCGCCTACGTTTTCTGCTTCGTCGGAATAAATGCGAGTTACTACTTGTCCGCTATTGCAACAGACTAGTTTAAATTGTACTTCCAATCTATTTGTATGTGGGTACGTGTCTTCTTCTTTTCGACTTTTGCTCGTTTTTTGCCAAATAAAACGAATAAATCTTGTTTGTCCGATGGTAAATAATTGTCCGTGTTTTTTAATTGTTGCTCTTTATTTAAGGGTTGTCGTCGTCGTAGTAGTAGTAGTAGTCGTAGTCGTCGTAGTAGTAGTAGGAGCAGCAGCAGCAGCAGCAGCAGCAGCAGCAGTAGTAGTCGTAGTAGTAGTAGTAGTAGTCGTCGTAGTCGTCGTCGGCTTTGATGATGCCTACGATCCAGTTGTGCGAACACTGATGTTAAAATCAAGTCCGTCAAGCCCAATCGAACGGATTATATTCATTTTTTTGAGTCTGAATGGTACATTTCTCTGAATTTCATGCCTTACTGAAAACTGAAATACCTGATATCCTCATTGGAAGAGAGTCGTGGCTAAAGGGGCATGTCAACACCTGTGACCTGTTTCCATCAGACTATACAGTTTACAGTAAAGATCGTCGAGGTGGCTGGGGAGGAGTTCTCATTACAGTTAAGAATTTGTCCTGTCAACTCCTTGAGGATCTGGATGTAGATGCTGAATTACTCTGGATTAAGATTGACTGTGGTAAAAAATAACCCATTGGTTGTTGGTGCTTATTACAATCCGGACTCTTCACTTGATTCTCTCAACAAGCTTGACGCATCCCTGTCTAAAATCAAAAAGGGTATGATCTGGCCTGGAGGTGATTTCAACACGAGGGATGTCAACTGGGAAGACCTAACAGTGAAATTTAACTTGATAGCAGTCTTAGAATCAAGCACTCCTTCACATATGTACCAAACATCATCTTGATCAAGTTGTGACTATGCCTGCCCGTGGGAAAAACATCCTTGACCTCTTCTTGGTCACTAATCCAACTTTAGTGAACAAAGTTTAGACCTTACCGGGAATTGGCAAGAATGATCACGATTGTTAGAATCCTTAGCCGCCTGCGACCAAAGTATACACCTAAACCTCTTCGTAAGGCCTTCGTAAGCTGACATGTCTTCACTACGGGAGGAGTTATCGGAGTTTGGTGATGATTTTGTTCAACACGTCAAGAGGTTAGGCGTTCAGGAGAATAAAAAGGCTCCAAAAGTTCTCCTAGTAACTACAGACCCATCTCATTCACTTCGATATTTTGCAGGCTTATGGAGCACATCTTAGCCAGTCATATTAAGGATCACCTTGACCATCACGATGTACTTCATAACTCTCAGCAAGGCTTTCGGAAGAGAAGAGGATGTGACACACAGCTCGTCTTAACAATGCAGTCCTATTCGATTTTTTGAAAGCCTTCGATAGATTATCCCATACTCACCTCTGGCTAAAGTTAAAACATTATGATATTACAGGAAACATCCTTGGTTGGTTAAATACATTCCTCACTCAACGTAAACAGAGCATGGTACGGGACAGGAAAATGTCATCCACCCTTGAGGTTACTTCAAGTGTGCCACAGGGTACTGTTGTCGGCCTACTTTGTTTTCTGGTTTATATTAACGACATGCCTAGTTGTGTATCCCCGGGCTAAAACACGTCTTTTTGCCGATGACGCCCTAGTCTACAGAGAAATCAACATTCATGAGGATAGACTGCATTTGAAGAAAGATCTTGATGCCCTTTCAGAATGGGGCGCAGCCTGGCAGATGGCTTTTAATACTGACAAGTGTTCAATATATCACGCAATTCACTAGCAAAAAATCACCCATAATAACACCATATAGATTATGTGGAGAGACACTTCGCTCAGTTGATTCACACTCCTATCTGGGCATCACATTCAGCTCTGATTTGAAATGGAGTAAATATAATACGTATTAAAATTATCCAGGGAACTGAGGGCGCTATTGCTGTTATAGCATCAAGGGAAGGCATGGTTCAGTGCATAGGTGTTTCTCTTTAAATTGTAAACCCAGAATTTACCTAATGAAAACATTTCTGAGAGAGGGATTGACATTTTCTTGATGCTATGCACGTGAACAACAATGAATCAGCAAAGAAGAGAAAATGAGTGCAGGAAAATCTACAAACGTGCAGTACGTTTTGTGTACAAACGAATGTAACATTGAGGCTTCCTCTGAGATGACATCACAGTTTTGCTCATGAATGTGGAAATATTAATCAGCATAAAAGCCATAAAATGGCGTTCAAATGCCCTTTGAAATAATGAAATAGAAGTTGAAAATAAGGTTATTTCTTGTACACCCCCGAGAAAAGTGACATTTTATTGATTGTACACGGACCATCGGCGCCGTTTTCTTATTGGCTCATTCTGGTTTACGCACGAACCATCACTAGCGATGTTAGTAACGTTAACTGATTCAGAAAGGTGCATTTTAGAGGTTTGTAATCACAAAAATCTATAGCAGTCACCCTTTAAGTGGTCAAGGCTTGAAACCAGACGCACTATTACGCGTCTTATTATGATGTACAAAATCAGTCATTCTCTGGTCGACATAAACTGGCAAGATCACCTCAGCAAACCCCAACGTTTTCTCAAAAACATGCACTTGCTCTCATAATCAACGGAAACTGTCTAGAACTTTTTCCCCCGAGAACCACAAAAGTATGGAACGACCTTCATCACAGTATATTTGACTGTTGTAGCTAGCTTCGTGCCAAGAATGTGTCAGACATCACTTGATTTGATTGTTCTACTAACTGCCACGCATCTATGGAGGACGAAAAGTGGCCATCTGCTTTTCTGCTATCGGAATGGCAGAAAAGCAGGTTTTATGTTCTGGTAACATGCAATTTCGACTTTTCTACTTTTCTGCCAACTCGAAAAGCAGAACGAACATTGTTTCTTTATGCATTTTCCTATTTTTCTGCTTTTCTGCTTCAAGAAAAGCAGGTTTTACTTTTTCCTCATTCGCTGGCGGCCGAAAAGCGGCCATCTGTTTTCTGCTTTCGAGCAAGCAGAAATTTGGATCGAATATTTTGACGACAACCGTGAATTCAACTTTTCTGCTTTTGTGTAAAAGCAAATTTTGCATAGGTGATCGAACTCCCGTGACTTTTCCTAACTTTCCCCCACCAAACTATTGAGAGGGGTGTCAATCTTGGTATCGCCCTAACTGGCAGTGACTGAAAGGGGGGCATATCCATTCCCATATGTTTGTGCACAAAACTTTATGTATTGGAAGGAATAATGAAATGCCGTAGATATGCAAGATTATGTCGTTCATTTGCAATAACGACGCAGGGCCATTATCCAAAGCACAAATACAGACGTCACGGAAGATCCCGACTTTAGTCAAGTCTACTGGATGTATAGATTTCAACGCGCGAGCTCATTAACATTTTGTGATCTCATTTTCGAATAAAAGGTGCCATCAGCAACCATCATAGAGATATTTTTACAAATCCCGAATTCAGGACTTCTGGTGTCCAACTTGGTGTATTTCGTTCTAAAAATCTCCAACCCGTGGGCCTATTTTGAATAGAGGCGGGCGGCTGCATTGAGAGCTGAGCGCATGTAGTTTTTACTCCTATTTTGGGGGTGCGTGTTTCGGCGAAGGACGAATAAAAATTTTGCGTGGCTAATTCCTATAAAATTGAAAACGAAAGTGACCTTCTGGCCATAATCTTTAATTTCCAAAGAAGAGCGGGAGGCCAACCTCTCCCTGAGAGTGAGAGTCACGGTCACCAGATGAGACAGCGTTTTTTCTGTCCGATTTTGCACCGTTTTCTATGGGTGGGTTTTCTTTAGTGTAGATTATTTGGCCAATAACAAGCACTCAATCAACCCAACAAACAAAAAATGGACGGATTGTGGAAACAATAGGCCAGGATCAACTCCCTAAGTCTGAGAACTTCCATCTGTTGGTAGAGCTGATAAAATTACGGTCTGAAAAAGGCCAGCGGTGCAGAGGGATGCCATTTTGAAAAAAATGGCTGCGCGCAGGCTTGGGAACTTTTCGCGGGGGGAGTAGTTTACTTTGCATGAATAATTAAAATTGAAATCACTTGACCCACCAAAAATTGACAAGAAGTGGAAAGACTAGAGTCAAAACAATAATTTAACTTTTGTTTGAGAAACTTCAGTAATGTTGGCTTTCTTGTTTTTGAGCCCTGTACCTTGTCGATTTTACATTGTTTTCAATGGTCCTTGAATTAATTCACTGCACTCCCGATCCCCGAAAGTGCACCGCACGCTTTAAAAACACTTAACAGTCACATGATTGAGGCCGTGTCCGGAAAGGGCTTCCAGAGCTACGGCTAGGTCTTTAGAATGGGCGTCTCCACGTACTTTCAAAAGAGTGAAGACCTAGCTCTTGACAACAGATTCGGATGCAGCCTTAGAGTTAAGTTCAGGGCTAGGGTATACGTCAGTTATATCACGTGAGAGGTCACGATGAAAACACCTGACTTAATCATTGCTCCTTCATGTCATTGTCACCGCGTCGCCAAACTAAACGTGAGAGTGATACGATGCCATTATGACATGCAGCTGAAGTTCATCAGCTGTAAACCGACTTTTAACGCTGAACTTTGTTTTCTGTAAAACAATCTTCCGTCTCGTGATACGGAGATTCCCTTTTGTGTTGTGGAAATCAAGAAGTACATGTAGGCGTACTTGTAAGACCTATGACTCAATCGCTATGAGCAGGCCCATTAACGAAAGTAGCGGCAGTGGGAACGGTACACGGTAAGGACTGACATAATAATAGCTTCCCCCAGAACCGTGCGGTCATACTAATAGTAATAGTAAGACCATGGTAAGACCCGAACTGTGGGGTCCAACGTCCCACAGTTCTGGGGGTGAATAATGGCATGGTCGTGATTGAATGTAGCCCAACTAGTGTGGCACGGACTCTCACTCCCGGTCCATCCTTAAGGATGGAGCAGGAGTGAGAGTCCGCATGGTCCGTGCCACACTAGTCGGGCTAGATTGAATGATGGTTTTGTCTAGTACTACTAGTACTAGGCCTAGTACTACTACTAGCCTGACTAGTACTACGAGGTCTACTAGTAATACTAATAGGCTTACTAGGCCTACTACTAGTACTGGGTCATGCTATTAAATATTTAGCGTCAACAAAGCTAAAGCGTCAACAACTTTAAGATACCTTCTAAAGATTTAAAAGTGGTTTTATCGTATTCTAGAGACTCTTAAGACATGTAAGACCTGCCATTGTGCAAGACTAAGAGAAACATCGAATTCGCTTCCAGATGCTTGCAGAAAAACAATTTTTTTTGCAATGCACGGAGGCTGCCATCTTTCTTTACTCCACCTCCACGTGAAAACAAGATGGCGGTCGGTCGGGCAGCACAAGCAGGCCCGGAATGTGTCGCTCCAATTTCCACACTCAATTTAAGTCTGTTTGATATTCAGTTCTTATCATACCGTGATATCATGAAAGAATATTGCGATATCTGATATTATCGTGATGACGTCATTTTCCATTTATAAAATAAACACGGCCGAAATCACCATGTCTCGAGAGCCATGTTAAAAAACAAAAGGGAAGAATTCCA